AAGGGGTCGAAAGAGCCCATGACGGTTGTGCCTGCGGTGGCATTGACATAGAATGGCGTTCGGCCTTCGCTCTGCGCCTTCTGGGCCAGTTTCTCAAGCTCGGCTGGGATCATGCGGCCGACTTTGTCGATGGGAACGGGCCAGACGGCACTGCTGCCGAACCCGAGCATTTGCGCCGCCTTTTCCACGCTGTAGTGGCCGTGCGCGCTCGTGAAGAGCACGAACTTGTACCCGCCGTTTCCGTCTGTTTTTGTGCTGGGGTAGAGGTTGTTGCGCGCAATGACAATGGAGGTGGTGTTCGAAGCGGATCCGCCTTGCACGGAAATACCTCCTGCCCGTGGACCGTTCAACCCGAAGAGGTTCGCCAACCGTTGGCCGGTATATTTCTCAATGACTGTCAGTGCAGGTGACACTTGGTAGACGTGTACGTTGGTGTTCAAAGTAGCGAGGATGAGCTCTGCTGCCACGCCGGGCGCATTGGTTGACGCATACAGCTTGTCCAAAAAGCCCTGATGCCAGGTGTTGACCGAGTATTTCAGGACCTTTTGCAAGACCTCAATGAGGCCTTCCTGCTTGGTGCCTTTCTCTGGGATCTCGAGCTGGAGGATATCCCGCAGCTCTTCCGGCTTCTTATAGTCTACCAACGAGGTCCCAGCCAGTCCAGTATGTCCATTCGTGCCGTTGGTGCCATTCTTCTGTGTCGAGGACTCGCGAGGATCCTCGTCTGCGGATCGGATAAAGGGTATGAGAAGGTCTTCCACTGCTTTCAGAAGCTGGGCATATCGTATTAGGATTAGAAAATCGGATAAAGAATCTGGCGGGGTGCAGATCATTGCGACATGGAGTTTGACTCACGCTTTGCACTTCATCAGCGCGGTTAGGCTGTGCAATGCCTGACATTTGTGCAGATTTTTACGTTCTAGTATGTAAAAAATGCAATAGACAGCAGCGAGTCTATACAGAAGAGATAGAAAATCAAACAGGGCAAAAGGCGCAATTGAAAGGGAAAAAAAAGTTCACCCGGCGATCTCGGAGATGGCGACAATCCCGCAGAGCCTGACATCATCCATCTCTTCGGGCCGGGAGCATGGTCTATACGCAGTACTTAGCTATATTCATATTTTGAGGATTCTCATGGTGGTATACTTACAATTACCTTCTTATCTAGATTCCCTGCATATATCATATGCAGACAAGGATACTATAATTTAGGCTAATCTGCAGGAACCCGGTGCTCTCATGTGATTGTCAGGGAACTATATAAAAACTAGACTTCCAACACCAGTTGACAATAACAAAAGACAAAACGTCCCAGGCGCCCAAAGCTGGAGGCTCTGGTTACTTAGGGGTAAGTAATCAGGAGAGAAAACCCATGTGCACCTAGCGACGTGCCCAGGGCACTATTTTGCACCTAGCGCCGTTAGTCATTATCTTCTGTGATGGTTAACTGTTTGGCACCTTAGATTCTAACGTGATTTATCCTAGCCTTTTACTATAGTACCTATATTTATTCAATACTATAATACTACCCCTATACTACTATAAAAATATATAAATAACTAATAAACACCATTAAACGAATTAGTATATAAATTATTTTCCTAATATTTTCCTAATATTAGTGATAGTTAATAATTTCAGAAAATGGAAACCAGAATACACGTAAATAATAGTATTTAGATAATTTAGATAAATCAGCTAAATTATATATACTAAGACTTGGATTTTATGTAAATTCCGGTTAAAATAGGTTATTCATAGGTTATTCATAGGGTTTTAAACCGAGAATAATAACCCGCTACAGGTTATGGCGCAGACTACTCTAGGGTGTCCCTTCTCTCTGGTGTTACAAGGGGCATTGTAAACCAAGATCCAGATATCACATACGACTATAACCAGCCAAGCCCAAATATCGAACTAGTTGATGCTCAACATATCCCTTGTATGAGAAAAGGTTTACTATGGTCCGAGGAAGAGGTATCTTTATTGGTGCAGCTCAGGGAAGAACAAAATCTTGCTTGGTTGAAGGTGATGAGACAGTTCGCACAGAATTTTGCCGGGAGGAGTAAAGGGTCCATACAGGTGTACTGGAGCACGACGTTCAAGAATTAGCAGCGAGCTTTGGCGGATGCCACGTAGGTAAATATATTGAGGACTGTGGATTGCCTTTGGACTACTACTATCAATATTGTACGGTTTATTATACTGTTACAACACCTACAACAGCCAAGGAGCCGTTCAGACGTAGAGGAGCTACGCACCCAAAGCTGGCGAGATTTACTTAAAATTGCCTGGTCAGGCAGAAACAAACACCAGGCCGTCATATCCTGATGTCGAAAAACTAACGTAAGGGCAGAACCTGGGTTTAGACTAGACACTAGAGACAGTGACAAGCTGGCTTTTTGATTACCTATCGCTGGTTTCTATCTCGCATCAAATGGCCACATCTTGTCCGCCTTTGCTACTGTCATGTTTTCGCCACGGGACTCGGCTTCTTTGGCAGTCTGTATCCATTCATTATACGCTGTGCGATGAGCAACTCTCGCAGCGTCCCATGCATCATTCGAGATCCACCCGTCAGAATTTGTATCAAGGTTGTCTCTTAGCCATGACTTGAGTGCTTGAACAGCCTCAAAATCTTCATAGTCTCGAGCATGCTGTTTCAATTCCGCTTCTGTGGGAGAATATGGGCATGAGCCCTCTAGCCCCAGTTCCGCCCAGCGAGCTGAAAGCTCAATTAACTCTTGGCGAACAGCGACAGCGGAGTCTCTCCAAGTTGTGTGACAGTAGTGGAAGAGTCGAAAAAGGGTCGGATCAAGTAATCTTGCAGGGCGAAGCTTAGGAACAAGGGCTGTCATGACCACATCATATGTTTGATAACAGACGGAGGCATCTTTTAGTTCTCGTTCCTTTGGTCCTGAAATTTCGGTTTCATTTTGTTCGTTCTCGAGTGGATCTTCCTCGGTGACCCTTGGGAGTGCAGCAAAATCAGGTGTCTCGTTGGCATAAATAAACGCGGGCTCAATGCTAGTTGATTGCCAATCTATCAGGCCAGTAATAACGGTTGGTTCTTCGGCAGAGACGTAGATATTCCTCTTGTGAAAATCCGAGTGAAGCAGAACTAGTGTAGCAGCGTCCTCAATGCGTTTATCTTCAATCAACTTTTGTATCACCTCTCGACTTGTTTTCAATAGACGGATGTGATCTTGAATTGATCCTTGATATAGCAGAAGCCTACGATTATTGATGGCTTCTTTAGGCAAACGAGAGAAACCGGTATCTATCAAACCTTGACAATAACTTGTGAGATCTCTCCAAGGTCCGCAATTGGGACTTGGGCCACGGTAGAGTTCATGCTCCCCCGGATTTCGGTTCCAGAAAACCGGACTGCAATGTGGTCCCACACAGAAGCCCTGCTCGAAGGGAATCTTTGAGTCCGAGTCTAGAGGCGCATCTGCGAAGTATAGACTGCCATAGGCCGGGAAGTCTAGGGAAGCCATCTTTTTCATTGTCAATGAAAGCGCTTTAGTGCACAGCATATATTGTTCCGGGTTCATTTTATGCCACTCTTGATGTAATTGAACACCCGCCACATGCTCCTAAATAATATATTCAGTTCCGGCCGGATTGGAAGGATTGTCATTCCAGTCGAGAATTTTTGGTATCGGAAGTGAGATCTTGGATTGTACTATACAGACATAAATTAGTGAGCATGTCAGCTATACCCTCAAGGACAGGGGATACGGCTTAGCCTTACGATAAGTTATCGTTGCAACTTCAGAGTTGGTCGTTAACCTTGGCGGGCCAGCAATACCGGTAGGTACCCTTGCCACAACACAATGTCCATTGTCCATTGTTAAAAGGAAGACTCTGTTGAATCCACCTTCTCGCTTCTCATATTTGACAACGCTGGTGGCTCCCGGACATGTGTGAACAGCCCGCTCACACAGCACTGAGAAGTCAAACATAACGTGGCGAGAGTTTCGCTCGAGCTCGTCCCGATTGAGCCATCTTCCACTGGTATACGAATGCGGATCATGCCCTACAATGCAAAGCCAGTGACAAATTAACTCCTTGGCCAAGGCCGGTGAGTGTATGCTACTAACGACGAGTCAGTTCTTGCGAATCTGTTCCTGGGGATGTGCTGTCGAGCCAGGTATGTGGCGAAGGTACGCTGTTCTTGTTTCCCATGTCGGATAACGTCCGAGATGGGCAACGGAATCGACAATGTTGAATGATTGACAAAGGGACTCCTAACTGCCGCCCGACTCGGAGCATATCAGATTGCTGGTCTTCTTTTTCCAGATTGTCAGCTGGGGAGCTCGAGATTGGAGGTCTAAAGCGCCCCCTTCATACAGCCGATTGTTTGCCGTCTTGATATTCAATTAAATTATCTACCTTGACGCCCACACCTTACCGCGACTCAGTGCGATTCAAACTGCCTACCAATTATCCATAAACGAAGATGGGTCTTTTATATCGGCGGCATTAATGGGAGGTTATGTGACGGCGTATTGGGCGCTAAACCACAAAAGGTAAAACTAACCGTATGTAGTAATTCACAAGTCCGCCGTTTACATTGCAATTTTTTTGATCCCTAAGCCTGTTTCCAAGGATTTATTCTCTGATCAATGCAGATCCGAGTTGTCCATGGCATTAATTCTTGCTCGAGACTTCTTGAAGTTCTCAGTCATCTGCTCGGGATCTTTGGAAGTGCTGGATACCTTTACACCACAGCCAACAAATATTGACTGCTTCGGTTATTTCGAAAATGTCTTAGCTCGAAAATGTATCGGTAGATAAAAGTGCTCTTTCAATGATGCAGTATTCATAACCAGTTGACTTCTGCCATTCCATAGGTGCTAAACGGTCTTTCTCGGTATCCTCAACCGTACCCTCGTCTCGAACCCCCTTCCCCGCTTTCACTGTCCGACCCACATCTCCTTAGGCCGTCGTCGATCTCTCCAACAACATCTCCACCATAAAAATTGCAGGATGTTCTAGATACAATGCTTGCGGGAAGAGCAGATATGGCAGTGTGAGTAGGTCAGACAATGGGGGTGAGTGAAGCAGCGAGGGTGTCTGCATGAGTTATGCAAGGCATTTTCAGCTCTCTTGATGACATTTTCAGCCTCAGAAGTGTTGTCTTCGGATCCATCGCCCTCACCTTCTTGGGCAATTTTTGCATCCATGCTAGCAAAGGCACCGTCCAGCTCCGTGCAAAGATCGTCGCTGGCGATACCAACGACGACTTCATCCCCATCCTTCAGATAGTAGCCTCCATTCTCGGGATAAAGAAGCCCATCCGGGTGGGCCAGGGCCAGATCGTTAAGAGCCTGTCTGTCATGACAGACGATGGCGTCGCTTGGGGGTGTGGTTTGGTAACGGGTGAGACCTTCAACCATGGCTGTCAAGAAGCACAGAAATAAGACGAGGGAGGTGGAGATGGATTTCATGTCGGATGAAGGGTATTTCAAGGGTCTCTGCAGGGGTGTTAGTCATCTACAGCCTGACCCTTGAGGCATCCTTCCGAGAATTAGAAGCATAGGTCTTCGATAAACATACGTTATGCTTGACTCAACGGGTATTTCAAAGTCTAAATCGCGATAGCTCCAGTCGCACAGATCATTCGATGAATATGGCGAAATAAGGAGGCTGGCCTTGCTGCTGATATTTCCAGTGGAACAGAGGGAAGTGATGTGAGATTCAAAGCAAAAAACAGCGAGAAGGAGTCCTTCTTTTATTTCTTTGAGCCAACTAGCTAGTCTAGCCATCTAACTATCCCATAGACAGTTAGATACTTGACCATCGTCAATGCTACTCTGCTTCTCCACCTGGGATCGCCACTGTACCTCGAGTCATGGATGGATCCAATACGTAGTGACCAAATCCTGCCACGGGCGTTTTATTGGCCATTATCATGTTTTAGAGAGAGATCTTAGTAGCGCGTTACTATCATATTCCTTTTCTAGCAAGACGTGAGCGATTCTCTGAGACATGTATGCATCCACTGAATAAGGATCCACTAGGAGCGGCCTTCTAGCCTTGAGAAATGCTACCCTGGATTTTTATAATCCGTCAACCTAAAAAATAGCCCCCTCTAGGCCATAATTACAGGCCATGATTTCTGATGCGGCCTAGTGGTAAAATGGCTGTGTTTTTTTTCCACATGTTCCAGGATCGTATGATCTGACATGTTGTATATTTGACAATGTGGGAGTGAGCGAATATCAGGCTGTATGACCGGGGGTCATGCAGGGTGGATGTGATGGCCGAGCTTACCCGGAGGTCAGTTCCTGAGGGGTGTTTAGAATCTGACAGAAATCTGGCAGGACAGCAATGTATGGGTAACCTTCTCTAACTGACAAAAATAAGAAAACCGCAATATTTAACAATCTGGGCTGTGTGGTATGCTTCGTACCAATAGTCACATATAGACTGCGCCACACCCCGCAATCCGGGCCGAGAGCTGTAAACCGCACCCGAACCTAACTCTGTAGTTTACGATTCTAGGCTTGAAACCCCGCCTATCTTAACCCGAATTTGTATATAGTCTAGGTCTTAGCATATATAATTTAGCTGATTCATCTAAATTAAACAACTATTTAGTTACTGTTATTTACGCTTATTCTAGTTTGAATTTTCTAAAATTATCAACTTTCACTAATATCTCTGAGCGCTATACACCTGGGTACTAATATCACTTGAAATATTAAGAAAGATTTAATATACTTGTCTATCAATAGTATATACAAGTTATTCTTTCGAACTTTTCAAAAATTATACTTGACCATTCTTGATGCACGTAAGCTCTTTTTCTCTCGGTGGTCGCCCCATCCATCCACGAGGGCTTAGGGCCGTGGCATGGAATATATCGATATCCACACTCCCCGCAGGTGGGCGTTTGGAAATCACACTTGCGATGCCGGAGCTTACGGGTCCAACATCCGGGCGGAAATGGTCCCATGATTATAGCCCTGGTTACGTTTGTGTATCGTAGTAGGAAGGAGAAGGTATTCCTGGAGGTGGTATTCGGTGCGGTTGGTGAACTTGGGAAGAACGCCCGAAGATCATAAAAACAATGTGATCTCCACAAGGTCTCGAGGCTTCCATGTGGAGCTCGGCTTGACCTTCCCTCCCAGGTCTCTTTTGCGTCCTCTTGACCCTTTCTTCTGCAGGCCTCACTGGGCCAGGACGTCGTTAGCTGCCTAATGCGCTATAAATTTCGCACGCGTTGGTTCAATAAGTCCTTAATTGGAAGTATTGATAGTTTGACAAGCAAATAAAAGTGAATTATACCAACTCAGCCTCGATCAGACTCTCCGCAACACCGTACAAAGTATAAACCCTCACAATCCTCAGCTTAACTCCCCCTAAAATCCCCCTCTACTCAGCCTCCGTCCTCTCCCTCACTGAGAAATGCGCCAGCATTATCATATCCATACTCGTCGCCGCCAGCGTCGGCTTATCCTCACTAATCACAATCTCGTTAAACAGCACCTGTGAATACCCCTTAACCAAAGTAGGCACTAGATTCTCCAAAATATGTATACCATCCTTATCATACCAATCATACAAAATAGAATATAAATACTCCCTTCACTAGCTCCGGCGTAAAGAAATCATAAGCTAGTACCTCAAATACCCTCCCTTTATTACATTCTAAAACACTCGTAATAATAGGCTCCCGATCCTAAAGTATAACCTTCCCCGGTATATTTTTATAAAGTACTATAAAAGTAGTAATATCATAGCCCCGTCTACCACTAATATCAACTAAAAAAGTCTCGCTAACCTCTATATTAAACCCGTAAATCAGTCGCTACGAAATAGGGTAAAACCCCTCCTTGAACTAAGTCGCCTTCCTAGTACGGTAGGGACTTATAAACGAATCAAAATACCGTAGCTATAGCGGCGTGGTAGTAACCTAGTTAAAGAACGGTAAGTCGGTCCTATATACCTCCTAGAATAGTCTATCTATACCGCCCGGTATCGGAAGCCGGTATACGTTTTTCTTGAAGCTAGGAATATATTAAAAGGTAGCCGTGCGGTATTATAGTAGAATATGATACTATATTAGTACTATTCCTCGACGAGTCTATTAGTTAGGGTTGTCCCGTGAAACGTACCAGAGTGGAAGGCGAGGACGTTTATGCTTCGTACGCTACGTGTTCAGCCACCCTAAACAATTCCCTACGTCGGTCACTATATGAAGAGGGGAACGCTTAAGGCTGTATGCTCTACGGCATACGGGTCGATTCAGCACTCGTAACTCAGCTTTATACCCGATCTTGCGTACAAAGGAACCCAGGTACACTGCCCCTGGAAGTGGATTCAGAGAGGTGTAGGAGTGTGCATTCTCAATCCGTATCTATCTGCTACTTGTAACCTCATAATCTCAATGCTTACATAACAACATATGGAAAAAGAAGAAGAGGCAAGGGCAAATGCGTAGTGGGGAGCCTATTTCCCCACTACAATAGATATAAAGCAATAAAACAATTGAATGCATGAACGCCTTTTTGTATGAGTACATGTGTATTTCGTCCAATATGTAATTCTATCACCAGTATCTCTTCACCTGCTAGCCACCGCAGTTTGGTTCGCACCAGTAGCGCCAGCATCGGCCGCTTCCTTGGCTGCTGCATAACGGGCCCGAGCCTGCTCAATCTTAGACTTGGGACGTTCGGCGCCTTCATTGCCCTCGGTTCGCTCCTCAAGGCCCTTGGCCTTGTGAGTCCAATCGCGTCGGCGGCGCTTGAAAAGATCCATTGACCAGTTTCGCCAGACTGCGCGACCCACAAAGGAATCGCGGAGCTCCTGTTCATGCTGCTCAAGCTCTTGCGCCATGCGCTCCTTGACAAAGAAGATATCCTTGGTTGCAGTCCAGAGCGCATCCACCACGTGTGACCCACTGCTGCTCAAGGCAAGAGGTGTGAGGTGGCCCTGGAAACGGATGGTGAGCTGTCGCCGGATTTGGGGCGTGGAGGTTGTGGAAGTCAGAGCCTGTTGGAGAACGCGGGAAGAGGTGGGTTCTTGGGCAAGTTGTACGATGGTTTCGGATGACTGGGCTAGGAGACTCGTGTAGACAAGTTGGCTGAGAGGGCCAGGAACGGTCAACATAGCCTGTACCAGCAGAGAGCCATGCAGTTTCTCTGCTTTCTCGGCTGCAGATACCGGGGGTGGGCCCCGTGGCTTGCGCTCTTTTCCGTCGTTGTCCTCGTCCATATCATGGTCTTCAGATTGTGGGGCCTTGTTCTCGGAGGGGTTGAATTTGAGCATCTGTTGCAGTCGGATAACAGGATCCTGGCTATAAGCGCCCTCGAGTGCTTCGGCAAGAGGCTTTGTGTCGACGCCACGGACCACACACCGCTCGATCAACATTTTAGGGACAATGAGTCTTGACCGTTCAATCAGGCCCGGAACTTCGGGGATAATGTTGGTCAGGGCAATCTTCAAGTCATCCTTGCCGAGTCTTTCTAGCATCCGAAGAACCACATATCCAGCGGTACTATTGCGAGAGAGGGAACCGATTCGGTCACCCAAGTTGTTCCTGTAAAGGTTTTTGAATGATTTACCAGGAAGGTATCGCACCATCGTCTCTAACAGGCGAGAACCCACTGGGTCGTATAGGAGACCACGAATGAAAGCCGCGCTTTCGGATTCTTCCTCAAACGACTCATCGGGAACAAGTCTTCGGATGGTCGACTTAGGATCTTTGGCGCTGGACTTTCCGAAATGCGAAAGCTCCAGGAACAAAAGCACCTGAAGCACAGGATTTCCAACTGGATGAGTAGCCAGGGCTCGGAGATAAACATCATCGAGACCGGAAACCATGTCGGTCATGATCTTCTTGAGTGCCGGCTCAAACGCCTCTGGAACCGCGTGTTTCTCGGCTTTCGACTTGCCTGCCTTCTCCTCGCCCTGAACCGTCGGAACCTCAATTCTTTCCTTCTTGCGACTTGCGACAAACGACTCATTTGACGTGACATCAACCGGCTCGCCTGCAAGAACCAGCAGTAGCACTCGGATTGTGTGCGACGCAAATCGCTCCGTCAACAGATAGCCCCAATTTTCCTTCAATTCCTCAATAACAGCCATAAACATTTCTGCGAGCGACAGCTCCGGCTCTTCCTCTGCTTCTTCGTCCGACTTTTTGTGTTGAGATTTCGTCTTTTGCATGACGGCAGGCGCAGCGTGAATGAAAAGTGTCTCACAGCAATGACTGGCGAAGCGATGCTGCACTAGGTGGAGGAAGTGACCGATAAATTTACTGAATATCCGGCGCAGTTGGCGCGCGTCTGACATTGATATCAATTTCTCCATGAGTCTCGAACAGCCCTGACTGCAGGCAATCTTTAACTCCTTGCCACTGGCCTCCGAGTACACACTGTCGACAAACAAGCTGCGCTCTTCGGCATCCTGGAACTGGTTTAGCTCCAGCATTTCGTTGGCGCGCTGGAAGTACTCGGACTCCTCCTCGTCTAGAAGACCGTAGAAAACCATGTCTCCATCGTTATTAGGTTGCTCGCCTTCCTGCTCTTCGCCCTGGTCAAGGGGAATATAGTCCTCATTTTCGGCAATTTGGATGTTATCGTTGGCCTCGTTGGTCTCGTCCGCGTCGTCGGCAGAGGGCTTCATTCGTTTCGCGACCGGTTCTTCCTGAGTTTCCTCGAACTTTCTCTTGGAATCATCTTTTTGGGCTTTCTTTTCGGCCCTGCGGCCTCTCTTTTGTTGTTCACGAGGCATTATGGCGGTGTGTCGTGAGGGAAAACGGAGTTGAAGCGCTGGAAATTTTTTGGATAAGCGGTGGCCCAAGCGTCTCCGCGGTGATAAGAGTTTGGTTTGTTTGCAACACCGGCTATTCTATAAGACCAAAACAATAGGCCGATTATTGAGTAGAGCAAATTATAATTGGATTTCATATGGCATCACTAATATACAGGTTTCATTTTGTATCCTTTAAACTGCAGAATAAATGGCAGAGACATGGCGCCCACATTCAACACGCTGTTCCATGCTCACATTGCGCTTCCCGACCTTGCCCTTGTGACGAGGCATGATCTGCAATCGCGCCTCAGCTTGGGTCTTCTTGTTTTCGGGGGGTGCGTTGATGTAGGTGGGCTTGGGTTGGTTGCTTCGCCTTCCTGTTCCAAGCTGGAAATGCTCGTTGCCTCCCCACCAGAGTACATCATAGCCCCAGTCTTTAGATTGATCCAAAGAGTCCTTGGTAGTCTTACTGACACTGGTCTTGTTGTCCAAAATAGTAGAGACATGAGTTGTACCGACAGACATGGCCCTAATGCGGATAGGGGTCATTTGCTTTGTCTTCTCGTCATACTCGCTCATACCGCTTAGAGCTTTCACTTTGGTGGGCGAATCCTGCAAGTGAACCCATCTGCCATTGCCGAGAGTACCCCAAATTCCCCTACCACAGGCCCATGTGTCTGCAGTTACATGTCCAAGATCATGAACATTGGCAGCCTCTTCTTCATGCCCCAGAATGCGCTTGGAATCGATGGAGAAGAAGGTGTTGGCGCCACCAGCAGCAATGCTGGTAACCTTAGGTAGGTAGAGGTTTCTTCTATATAGTTTTTGAACCTTCATAAGGAAAGGAACATCCTTGAAAGGCTTCTCGGGCTCAAAATCAACACCCAATTGGCCAAATGAGTTGTCACCAAAGCCAAACATACGGCCATCTTTGGTTAGCGCCAGCGAGTGGTAGTCGCCACAAGCAATTTGAACAATCTTGGAGCCCTTAAGAGCTGCAATTTCATGGCAGGCATCTGCTGGCCCCTTGGGTCTGGTGGACCAGGTAAGTCCCTCCACACCGAGTTGACCAAGCGAAGGGTAGTTTTCGGTGGATGACGCCGCAGAGAAGACCCGACCAGAGCTTGTGAGAAGCAGCACATGTTCCTGGCCTCCACAGATTGTAGTGACCTTTTCACCAAGATTCAAAGATGGGTGCAGTACACGGTAGCTCAGATTAGACTGATTGGGCCAGAATGGAACCCAAGAGCTTTCCGTTGTCTTTGGGCCGGTGCTTTGTCCGTCCTTGGATGTGGGCAGTGAGTATACAGTCCCATCCGAGGATAGCGCGATGATTCGACTTTCGGACAAAGCGAGTGAGGTGAGATTCTTGCCGGTCAGAGTCACCGTGGGTTTGAAGTCCGACTCGGAGTACGCCTGGCCCCATTGAACTAGATCTCCGTTCTCGGTGATTGCTGCACCTGACTTTTCCTCGATCTTGAGATCTCTCAGCACCTGGCCGTCAAAGTACTTGAAGCGCCGAGGAATCTTGATGTCGGTATCTTTGGATCCCGGATCCACCACACGATAAACGTTCGAGCCCCATGTGTAGACGGCGGGGCTTTTCAGGCTTCGTTTTTCTTGAATGAACTGAGCTTGGAGATCGTTGACATCAACGGGCTCTTTCTTCGTAACCTCTGTGTTACTGATCCAAGCCTCCTTTCCACCATCAGCCAAGTATGAGTATCCCAAAAAGGCTGCAGTTCCTGTCACAGCAAATCCGAGAGAATTGCGGATCCAGTGCGATGACGGGCCTGGCTTTTGCGATTGACTGCTAGCAAATCGGGACCATGGCGCATTTACTGACTGAGCCGTCGAGTTTCTGAGGGGACGAAAAGCGAGGACGGAGTGCGTCGCGGGCCGTCGCATTTGATTTTTCAACATTGTAGATGATGGCTGGATCACCAGCTAGAGCATAACCAACCTGCAAAGGTAAGATGATATCCGGGGAAGCTCTCAATGCCGCGCCTGTGATTTGTTGCAGCATCCAGGCGGGAGCTCCCGGCAGAATCCATCTCGGAGTTGACCACATCACAGTTGGACTTCAATATCAAACTTGGCCTGAATTTCACTCTGGATAAAGTTGATAGAGAGAAATGAGCTGCGGGCTCACTCCTATCACACTCCCTGGGCCTTGACCGCACCATGTCTTCCACAAAGCAGCAGCGTGCCCGCCGCCAAACCGCCCCCTCTGGCCCGCCGCGCAAACCC